CCTGCTCGCACTCTCTCTCTCTCTCTCTCTCTCTCTCTCAAAAAGAATTAAACTTAAAAAAAAAGAGAAGGAAAAAAAAAGACTGAAAACCAACAATTTACTCAATCATCGTGTAGGTGTGGAAACAAACCCTATGAGGTCAAGGAGTCTGCCACAGGCCTTCAGCTACTGGTTGACATGCAGCGGCAGGCAACAAAATCTGAAACCAGAACCCAATTAAGAGCTCTTCCTATTACACTTTTCTCATTAGTGCCAGCTGCTTAGGATACAAACTTGTGTAACTCCGTTTATATCTTCTCATTTTTAGACAGTGACTTCACTGCTTTCCTTTTATAAACACAAACATCAGTTCCAAATCGTCTCTGCGGTCTTCGCTCCGCAAGTTCTGCCTGCCTGCCTGCCTTCCTGCCTGCCTACCAAGGGCAGAGCCCTGTGCCAGTGACACTGAGTGGAGATCAAGCGCATCACCATGACCCCTACCCTCAGATAATGTCCACTCAGCTGGGGAGACCAACAGGTAAAGTACAAAAGGAATGCAATGTATATCATGGGATCAAAATAGAACCACATAGTAAAAACAAAATGAAATTACTGGAGAAAGGATTAAATGAGGATTTCACTTACATTGTCTTTGATATTACAGATTATTTTTGCATAACACTTATTGTTATCTCTTGATGGAATCGTCCATTCCAATGGCCAAAAGTAACTATGGTAAACCTAAAAAGATACAAACACAATTGAGACCCATTACCTTAAGAAACATGTTTGTCAAACACCCTGTGTGGTTTGAAAACACTGGAGGCTCTTTGATACTTACTTTCATTTAAGAATAAAATTCATGGAATAAACAGGAATTTGGTAGAAGGTAAATGACCTTAAACTTGTGGTTAAGCCTCTTTGCTATAAGCTCATCCCTTAATTACATCTCAACCTGAGAAGAATAAACCTTAAGTAATGATAACGACAAAGAGCAGACAAATGAGAGAAAGAAGCCAAGTAATTACTTGCTGTCTTCCATCAAAAAAAAAAAAGGAAAGAAAACCCCAACACTATCTTGTATAGAAATGACAACTTTGGGCAAGAAACAAGCAAGGTGCCAGGAACAATTAGAGCAATTATCTAGCTCCTTGCTTAATGCTTCCAAAGACATTTCCTCCTTTGGCATTATTCACCAAAGGAAGGAGAGAAGAAGAGAGGGAGGAAGATGAGAAGGTGGAGGGACGCAGATATTTTTATTGATGTTCCATAAACTTAAGTCTGGGTGACTACAGGGATTTGTTTTCCTCCTCCAGCTGCTACCCTCAATTCAAAATATATATGGTTGGCTACCTCTTAAAAACTTAACTGATTATGTAGCTATTGCAGTGTTCTTCAAGGTTGCAATGCAATGTGAATTTTTTTTTTAATGTGGGTTACAAAACTGAATATAGTGTCATAGTATCACACCAATTTTGCAGGGAAAAGATAATTAAAGAAATTACCCCAAATTGCTAGCAACTGCTGTGTTACAGACATTAATCTATGGGTAACTGTTTGCTATTTCCATTTTCAAAATTTCAACTGAAATGTATTACTTTTATAACGAAAAATGCAAATTCTAATAAAATGAAAGCCAAAGCCTGTCAAGAAATATGAAATATACATTAAGAACCTCAAATTTTAAGTACCTTTCAATAGAAATCTATCCTCAGAAAATAATCTAGAGAAATGGACAATGAATTATGAAGATGTTCATCATTCTATTTGTAATAGTGAAAGACTAGAAATAATGTAATAAAAGTATGGCTTAAATTATTGTATAGCATCCAAAAATGCAGAAGTCATTTTTTAAAATGCTGTTTTTAGGGGAAAATGCTCATGACCTAATATTAAATTCATATAACTTAATCACACTTCAAAAAAAAAATTAAGACATATGTACCTACAATTATACATGCACATATATATATACACTATATAAACACATAAATATTTTGAAAAACTAGAAGAAAATATGCCAAAATATTAATAGCAATGATCTCTTCTTGAATTAAAATTTCTTTACATTTTCCTAATTTTTCAAACTTCCTATAAGGATATACTATTTTTACAATCAGATGTTACTAACGTGATACTGATTAGATCAAGATATTACTACTGATGCATATAATAAGAAAAAGATTTAAGAGATTTAAAACAGAC